GCAGGGGGTCAGGCTAGATGATCTGTTCAGGTCCCTCCTGACCCTAGCTGCTATGAAACTACTATGAAACTATGCATGATCCCACACTGATAGCATGGCACGATACTGTGTTGTCCCAGCTGAGGCTGCTGTGCTTTTGGTATCTGGCTGGGAGAGGCAGACAATATAATATGCAACCGCAGGCTGCCTTCAGGTACTCTTCTAACAAGAGCCTGGGCAGCTGAAGGAAGTGTCACAGTTCACATGGGGCATCTGCACAACCCCACACTAACCACTAGCCTTTCTTTTCTCTCCCAGCAACAGGACACTATAGGCAGCATCGCTGCTGGGACGACTGGGAGCTGTCCTACTTGCTGCATGGGGTGGATCAGTCGGAGTCAAGCACAGGCTGGCCATTCAGCCACAGGTGAAGGAAGTTGAGGTGTCTGCAGATGAGGGTGACGCATCCCAAATATAAAACTGGAGGTCAGATAGGATCCCCTGGGGGAGAAGGAGGATAGAGGGGGGATCTTGAGAACACAGAGAAGTACCGAGGAGAAAGAGCATCTGAACACCTCAATCTGGCCAAAGCAGAAATGAATCAAGGAACAAGAACGGTGGTGACCTACTCAAGTCTGCCTCCACTGTAACCATCCCAAGAAGTGTTAGGGTTGATTTCAGTTGATTTCCAAGTTATACCTGGGTCCAAACAGTTCCATGGAGGTACAGCGTCTCACCCACCAACTGCAGCAACTTCTGGAAGTGCCTGTCGTGATATTCAAACCGGCTGCCAAAAGTGATGGAACATATAACGTTGGAAACGGCGTTGTTAATTTTAAAGTGGGGGTCAAAAGGATTCCCTGGAAAACACCAGAAGAAAGAAATCAGCTCTCTCCCAGCCTTTGTGGAAGAGAAAGAAGTTGTTGAGAGGGTGTGATTGATCGGTGTGAACTCCACTCTTTGCACGCATCCCACATGCAACCTCGGTGAGGATCTGTTAAACACATGGGCTGAGCTGGTAATGCATCCAAGCAGCTACTTCAAGCCAGCTTTATTTGATTTTTCTAAAACCATTAGTTTTTTTTCACACAGGTTTCTGCCTTCATAATAGCTTAGGTAGATTTTATCTATACTTCTTCCCCTGGATAATTAATTGGAAAAATTGTAGGGCTATCATGTAAACCCACTTTTCTGTGGAGGCTGGGGGCAAGCAGACCCCAAATCAGGATGCAGTTCCATTCCTGATAGAAAGAAAATCCAAAAATTGCCAAATTTCCAAATGTTGCTGATTTCTGGATCCAAATCCAGTTTGCTACCCAAATCTCTGATATTTCTGAGTTTTAGCAGAGCCAGATTCAGACACAGTTTAATATTCCTCGCATGTAATCTCGTGCTCATCATAGCTCGTCAGATCCTAAAAGAAAACTTCAAGCGTCTTTCTCTTACCTTTCTCTTCCTCAACTGCCTCAATGAGGTACCCGATCTCCTGTTGTATACGCTCCTCTAAGCTTCTCTTCCCCAGGCCAAAGTTTCTCAGAGTTGATAGGGCAAATCGTCTCTGTTGTTTCCAGCTATATCCATTAGCAGAGACCAGTCCTGTCATGAGAGGTCACTCCTATTACTTTGTGGTGACATTAAAAGGTTAGAAAGTCATAACACTCCCTTTTTTTTTGGAAAACTTAGCAAGGACTGGTTCTTTTTCCAGAGAAACAGATCCTGGGATATCACCGTTGGGATGTAAAAACAAGTCTGCCCATTTCCTTACACCTCTGCACCTCTGTATGTGCTTGAAGAACGTGGGACAGTGAAGGAGGCTCAGTACAATACCTGATTTCAGTGGGAACCGGGTACATCAATATCTTTGAGGATCTGGCGTAAGAAGAATTTTTCCAACTATTTTAGCTGGTCTAATAAAAGATATCAGATTTACCCAAGGATCTTTGTCATCCTATGTCCTTAGACCAACACGGCTACAACCAACACCCCTGTCCTGAAGAGTAAACTCACCCAAGCTACCGCGGACCTCCAGCATAATGGGGATCTGGGGACGATCTGCAAAGTTTTCACCGTGATGAACAAGTGCTTCCTTCACCAGCGGCAACCCATTCACAATCACCAGCGTCTTGTAACCAAGCTGCAGGCTGAAAATGTTGCCATATTTTTCAGCAAGCTGGAAAAAAAAAAGATTGTGTGATATTGTTCCTAGTAAACTTGCTTCTTAATGAGCAATTGGGACATTGACACAATGTCTTCCTCCCCTTCCCCCCCCCCCCCCAAAAAAAAAATCAGTATTAATTATATTTACTGCAATAGTACTGAAGAACTGTGCTATTTTAAAACTGCCCGTTTGCCCTCAAGAACTCACAAGAAGATTTCATGGGTATTTGAAGGGTACAAACAGAGTTTGGTAACAGTTCAACAAACATATTAAACTTTTATGATCACGTTGGGTCTTTTCCTAAAGAAAAAGAATATCAAAGTAAAATGGCCCAAATACTAACTAGTATTATTGACAATCAGATGCATTTAAGAGGAACAGACGCCTTTCTGCCTGATAGCACTGCCAACCGGAACATGTTTCTCTTCAAAACTGCTTCCTCTGGTGAAGCAATCAAATATTCTAGTTTAAACAGGGCAGGCTCCTAGTGTGCCAGAGGCACTGGTATCTTTAGATTCACATTATGCAGATGGTAAACTGTTCAGCTCCTCCATGACCAGGACTAAAAGCTGTGTTTCCTCTGTGACTCTTGATGAAGAGCAGCAAAGCTATGAGCCTCACAAATCAACTTCTATGCCCCGCTGGGACCTCTGGGTCACCTCTTCTTGGGACCTTCTGACTTAGCACCTCCCATCATACATGCCTTGCCTTGCTGTTCTTGCACAACTTCCCTACAAGTTCTTGCCACCCCATACCTCAGAGGCTTTCTTAAAGTCTTGTAATTAAATTATACCAAGCCCATGTGCTGTTGAAAATCCCTTCTCAGTCTTACCAGTCTCACCTATCCCGTGCAAACCCTTCTAAACTGGCCGAGCATCTCAACCCCAGTCTTTCTAGGCTTAACAACCCTCTATGAGCAGCTTCTTACCTGTCAAGTACTTGTGGGCTTCCTACTGCCTGGCCTGACTTTCTGTACCCTTTAAAAAAAACCCTGAATGTCTCTCAGATCCCTCCAACACCTTCCAAACTCATAGTTCCCATCTGACCTGACACCCTGCCATCCACAACATAGAGATCTGAATTTCCTGGTAATGCCAAGTTAGTTTTGAACCATTCCCCATCACCAACAGATGCAGCCTGGGTGCATCCTGCTTCTTGAGGATTTCCACTGGGGAAGAGGATCTGCAGTGGACGCCACCACATCTTGGCCAAGGAAAAAGTGTGCCCTGGATTTCCTGCACTATAACAACCCCAGGTCGTTGCAGCAGCTCATGGGGGCTATCAGTAAATGCCAGTTCAGAGCAGTCTAGAGCTGGCTCACCTGGTTTTCTCAAGAGCTGGACCAGGAACTCTTCACCGCCTGCTGCAAGACTTTGTGGCTCACCACACCCTGTTGGCTATTACTTTTGAAAACAAATCCCTCTCCTTTCACCTCTTACCTTCTTCATGGAGAGATGAGGCTGCTTGAAGTCCAGATGGAATATGTGACCCAGGAACGGAAGGGGCAGTGGTCCTGGAGGGAAATTTGCTGGACGGCTCCTCTTCATATAATCAACGATCAGCAGCCCCACAACCGTGAACGCCGCGAAGGTCCACAAGGACACATTCTCCCAGAGAATGGCCAAAGGGGAGAGAAACTGCAGCTGCATCTCCACCAGCAGCAGCCACTTGCACAGAAAGTGGAAGTGGTTGCGAAACGAAACGGGAGAGCAGGAACAACAACCCTACCCGCCCCCTTACAATGGGAGGAGTGTAAAGGTTACAAACAAAATGAACAGGATTAGCAAGCACACGCGATGTTCCCAGCAGAGTGACAGCCAAGGAGCCCTGCTAGCCCTGCCTATGCCAGACAGCTGGCCTGGTTCTCCCTTCTGGGTCACCATTTCCCCCACCTCATCTCAACATTTGCGTTGGCTTTGGGCAGATTCTTCATTCCTCTTTGCCAGCCTCTGTCTTAAAAAACAATCCAGTAAAACCAGATCTCTCACAAATCCATAGCAAGGGAGGGGAAGGATCTTGTTACAGTAGGTGTCAAGGTGAAGTTTGTGGCTGTAATTTCACCATTGTCCTGTACGCAGCCCTGGGAATGCTTCTCCACCGCACCCTCCCCACACGTCTGTGCTTATGTTTCCCACGAGAGTGCTGGATCTGAGTGCTTTTAGCTTCCGTGATCTCAAAGGAGCTCTTTGCATTACATCCTGGGTGCTGCCCATGGCAAACATGCTCAAGCACACCCTGGTCCTCCCCGCAGACCCAACAGCCAGAAAAGAGGAATGGTTTCCGTACCCCATTTCCAGGCTTGACTGAGTGAGAACAGGTGAGAGGCGCAACGTGATGTGTGATTTCTCAAAGCAATGACACCTTACTGCGGTCAGCCCCAAAGCTGTACAGGATCAGTCAAAAAAAATCCCTGCAGGCATCTCCCTGACTTGGCGTTCTCACCATACCAGGGCACTCTTCTGGCTTAGATCAGCGAACTCTAAGGAGTCTAGCGTCCCACCCGTGGCTTCACCTCTGAATCAAGGCACCCCTTTTCTGTGCAGTGAGTTCACTTCTTCCCCATGCACTACCATGGACAAACAGGACTCCTAGGCTACAGGAGCAAGTCCTTCTTCTTTTTTTTGTCCAAGCTCCCTGTGCTGTGAATCCCTATCACTTCCTTATGAGTGCTGGATCACAAAAGCCACCTGCTTTCAGTTTTTTATTTCAGGATTGTCCACAATATTATATAATCATCGTCATTAGCATTTGCACTTATTATATCATGGCATTATTTACAATCTATACTGTCATACAATACTACTATTGAAAATTATATACTATCTTGCAGCAGTGACCTGAGGCTAACTGCATGAGGGTCCTTATACCCAGATGCTGTATACATATAGGGGAAATGGCAGTCCCTGTCTCACAGAACTGGCATGCTGAAGCCCCAGATCAGGAAAACATCCAGAGTCAGATGCTTAAGCACATGCTTAACTCTAAACACTGAAATCCATGGAGCATTGTGTGAAGTTAAGTAAATGCTTAAACCAGCACTTCATTCCTCATCTGAATGAGAGGCCACAGCCCAACTAGCCATGGAGATGCCGTGCTTTGCAGAGATGTTCACTCTGTATTGCTTGGGGTTCACCTTCCCCCATGCATGTGTTGTTGCGCCCCCTACCCCCATGACTTGGAGCATTTGAACATACACATATGCACACACAGGCTCTGTAGTGATCACTGGGTTGAATAAAAGCAGGCGTATGTGAATGAAAAGAACTTAACTATGAATTTTATTGTGGAGTAATAGGCAGCCTTGGTAGACACGTGGTCTCTATTTTACTAGCCAGCTAGCAGCTCTCTAATTAAGGGACAATCTCCATCACTTGCAGCCGACCAGATGGTTTCACGCAACAGATTATGCAGGCTCGTATGGAGTCACGCCGTGGAAGTTTGGCAGAGTGGAGTAGATGCACTTTTCTCTGCAATTACTCATGCTAGTAACTATATGAGAATGTAAGCTTACAATAAAAGACAAATTAACTTATAAAAGCAAATAAAATATTAAAGAAGACATACAAGAAAAGCTGTTTGAACAATACCCCAACTTAGCCTTCCTTGCTATGGCTACACTATGAATAAAAGATGTGTTTTCTAACCCAAGTTAGAAGATGTGTTTTCTAACTTGAGCTAACCTAAGTTAACTCATTTAATTTTAAATAGCTAAAACAAGACACTGGTCATTTGAACTCAGGACAGCAATCAACAATTCAATGCCAGGTCATCAAGGGATTTCACTTGTGCTGCTATGTTGTTTTAAAGCCAGGAATCAAGTTTCTCATTGCAGTTGTTTTCAGCCCATGCTGACTAGCACTGCTTAGCGAGCTCAAAGTCCATTTTTCAGTAGTAGAAATGTGAGAGGAGTGGAGGGCAGAAGAGAGACAAGGTGGCTTAGGCATGGGTTTTTCCTCATCGGCTTTTTAAACAATTATTTTTCACAAAAATGAAAATAGTTCCCATCCAAATATAGAAAAATATTGAATATAGATTTTTTTTCTTGCTTTGCTCACTTTCTCTCCCTCTTTTAAGTCTCCCTCCCAGACTTTTATGAGCAGAAAATGTTAAATAAGTAGATGCCTGCTTATTTCTGATCCCCGGGATTAAATTTTCTAAGAGAGAATTTGGAAGGGCTGGACCCGATGATCCTCCGAGGTTTCTTCCAGCCTTACAATCTATGAAGCTATGAAAAAGCTTTAATTAAAAAGCTGAATACTTCATGAACACATTTGAATGAAACAAAAATTTGCTTCTTTTGAAAAAAAAAAGTCATGAAATATGCAGCTCTCAAAGACAGTCTGAAGTCCTGGGCTACCTAATTGCAGTAGGTCTCCGAGCCAGTGGATCCGCTCTTTCAGCTGTAGCCATCCCATTAGCAGTGCTTCAATGGGACACAGGAATGGAGGAGGCAGAGACATTTGAGGATGTGTGCACAGTGCTCAAAGCATCACCTACCATAAAGCTCAGCAATTCTGAGAAATGGGGCAAAATCTTGCCAGCTCTCCCTAGCGCGGCAGAGCACAGATCTTGTATGGATGAGGACTCGTGGTGAGCCCCATTTTGACCTAGAGGTTGAGCTTCATGTCCTTCGGTGCCTGGAACGTGAACCTCTGGAAAAGGGCAGTGAAGAACAGGAACAGCTCCGTTCTAGCCAGCTGCTCTCCCAGGCAAACCCTTTTCCCTGAAATGACAGCAACATTGGGTGCATCAGCCAAAGGATTGTTAGAAAGGGATGTTGGGCTCAATGACAAGTGAGGCTTTAATTTGCCACAGCAGAATGAGTATTGCTCTTGTTTCATGACCGTGAAGGAGAAGAGACTGTGTTTGTTTCCCATGTGAATCTCTTCTTCCTAGGTTAGTACTACATTTCCAACCCTCGACCACTGTTCCAGTCCCCCATGGGGCTATCCATCCATTTTATCCAGTGAAAATTCAATGCAAAAACCCCCCCAGTGAAGTTGCAGGAGGAGAGAGGAGGGCAGGTTAAAATAGCCCAGTGGAGGGGGGAGCAGGACAGAGTCCAGAGCCTCATTTCTTTCCAAACAGTGGTCATTTCAGTGAACCAGACTCCTCTAGCATGCAGTCCTCCTCAACCACCTGGAGGAGGAAACTGTGCCCTCTGGAGTGCCCAGTCTGTGGTCCGGTAGTGAGGACATTTTGCTAGCAAGTGGGAGATGTCAGTTCAAGCCCCTGCTTGAGTTCTGTCTTCAGCCCCCGATGGAGCAGGAGTTGTTCCACTCCTATCCATTTAATACAATGGATGTCTCGTGCCAAAGCACTGGTGGTTGCAGGAGTGTGGGGGGGAACGAGGACCAGTCCAGAGTCCAGGACACCCTCCTTTTCCGAGCAGCATCCACTGCACTGAACCACCTTCCCTTCAACACGTTCTCCTCCTGGCCCCACATATCTTGCTCTGTTGGACCCGCCTAGGGCCAAGATTCAATAGGAGAGGTAGAGGCGGCTCCTTGCTGTTTCTCACCTGGGTAGTCTAAGGCTGGGTGGTCAGGGCATGTTTCTGGCGAGTGAGACACGTGGGGTCAAAATGCTCTGTATGTTCTAACAGGTTTTGAACAGTTTTCTCCGGGACACTGGCTACTGCAAACAGCCTCAGGCATTTAGGGTGATTTTAAGGACTAGGACTCAGGCTTGCAAGTGCTCGCTCGTTCGTGTTTATGACACCTGGCTGCATGAATGACTGGTGCCTCCTGAATCGGGGTGGGGGCACCTGCGGCCGCGGCCCTGTCGGGGGGGCACCAGCCCTACTGACAGCATCGGTGTCGGCCGTCGGGGGGGCACGTGCACCTCCAAGCACCCCCTACTAGTCACCTACGCCTGGATGGCCTTCTGGTTCTGACTGCGGTTCACCTCCTGGCCCTCAGACCTAATCACTCATCCGGACTTCCCGCACCTGGCCATTACGAGACTGAGCAAGCTGCATCTCAGCCCCTTGGCCATGGCTTCAGTTTCTAAGTTTTCCATTTTCCAAAGCATTTCTATAACCCAGAAGCTCTCCAGGCTTTTTCTAACTTAAAATCCCAGAGGTCCAAACCTGATGAGAGTCAAGCACATCACACCTGCCGAGAAGGGCAGGAAAGCCTCTTTCTTCCTGAACTGGCCATCCTTCAGAAAGTGCTCAGGGTTAAAGACATCAGGAGTTTCCCACTCGTTCTTGTCATTCAACACTGTTGTTAAACTGGAGATCAGAATGGTATCCTGTGAAGAGAAAGGAAAGGATGGAGCATGTTTCTGTGTCCTTTGCAACCGTGCCTTGCAAAGTGGGGGGATAAAGGAGGGTCAAGACCTTCTGTTTCATCGTGTATGATAGATATCAAGGAGTGTTTTATAAGAAGGTCATTTTCCTGCCTTTCTGTGTTTGTTTCTTTGTTTATAAACTTGAAACTATTTAGATGAGGGCTGTGCAACCGGCATCCCCATGGTTCCTGCCAGGCCATTGCTCCCCCCATCACTCAAGCTGCCCCCACACCCCTCTGGCTTCCATTCTCTGCCCCTGCTCCTGCCCCTGCCCCAGGGAAGCAGGGAAAAAGCAGTGCAAACTTTGAGAGCTGCTGAGAAAGGAATATTCCCCTGCTCCAATCTTGAAAAAGAAGCAGCATCCTCCAGACACTCTGCACCCTGCTGATCTTGCATAAGGAAACAACCACTGCAATGAGCTTCGGCCAGATCCAGTTCTTAGCCTGGTTGCAAGCTGTCAAACATAAACACCTCTCATTATGGTTTATGCAGTCGTTGGCTGGAAAACTCTAATCTCACCTTCAAATGCCTCCATGCTGCTGGGAATAGGGATGCAGGGGACTTCAGCCCATTTATAGAACTAGGGACTGGCTGTGAAATGTAGTTCAGGATCTTGAATGTGTTCACATTCAGAGAGACATAGTTAATATTCCCTGTCTTCTGCTTCACATTCAGAACGACACCCTGCTTGCCCCAAAGTGTAATAAAGGTTAGATGTGTGGCTCTAGTTTTGTCTCCTCTTTATTAATTTCCTAAACCACAATAAAGAGAAGAGGGCTATGTTGCCTTCCACGTTACCTTCGGCAGATGGAATCCAGCCAGCGTTGTGTCGCTGGTTGTGAGTCGCAGCAAATTAAAAGGTACAATGTTGCCCATCCTTTGAATTTCATGCACAACTGCATTGGTGTATGGCATGTTGTCTCTGTCGTCCATGGCTGGCTGGCGGGACTGGCCAATCACCGTGTCGATCTCTGCTTGCACTCTCTCTGCAGAAAGAGCAATAGTTGAGCGTTGGTGCAAGAACCAGCACGCTCTTGAACAATAGGTGCAGTGTCAGAATTTGAAGCTCCATGTAAGCTTCAGAAATAGCTTCAGAGAGCAGGTTCTGCATCTGCACATGTCATTATGTAAGAAAATGTACAGCCCCTAGCCTGAGATGATTGCTTGGGACCTCACAGGGTAGAGGGGAGAAGCATATATGAGTAAGATCTTAAATGGCTAATTGCTTGTGATACCATGACATTCTTGCTACTGATGGCGGGGTATCAAATCCCAGAAGTACCAAGGGGGGTCTGAGGGCCCTGGCCTTCCTCAGGAAGAGGGCTGTGACCTGAAATGTACCTGAAAACTTTTCACATGTCCATCATTGTAGGCCATCCCCTCCCCTGACAAAGATAAAAGTTGGCGCCTATGCAACATCCCATCTTACTGATGGAGGATCTATAGACCAATGGAGGAAACAACATGCTGGAACTTGGAAATCGGGAGCTCTGGAATATGCTGATTTGCAGAGTGAGTTGCTGGGAAAGTCGCACCCTTCCTCATTCTTCAGTTTCTGCATCTATTCAATGGGGCTAATATCTTCCTGATAAAATACTTCTGGTGACAAATACTCTAAGTGCTGGGGATTTTCCAAGCATATTTTTTTCCTGTTCAAACTAGCAGGGTCAGGTTCCCAGGGCTGTTCTATGGGAAACCTAAGAATGAAAACGTTTGCCCATCAGTTTTCTCTGTGAAGCAATACTCCTACATCTTCCAGCACAGCATTTCTTCAACACTTTGTCAAGAGCCCAAGGACTCCACGTTGCCTGCATGTACTTAAAAGGATCTTCCAGATCAGTGCTGAGGACAAGACTGATCATGGGCCACATTTTAGAAGTCCACTAGAACATGAGTGTGCCAGGTACATCAGCTGACAGGGACTCCAGTCCCACACTTAAGACACAAGGTCTCCTTTAATTGGTGCTTTTGCAGCTGTGGATTTTGTTCTTCATTTCTGCCTTAGTTAACTGAGTGCACAAGTCACTGTAGTACAGGAAAGGATGTTTGAATGGGGAAAATCTTTGGGAAGAAAGCACGGGCAATTCATAGAGCAGTATTTGAAATCCTATGAAAAGCCTCACCTGCTGGGATTGAATCAAAACTATTTTACCTTGAATTTCTGGATACATGGCCATGTACAGTAGACCCCAGCGGATGGTTGTGGAGGTTGTCTCAGTTCCAGCAAAAAAAAGGTCCAGTGTAGAAATTAAGAGATTGCTTTCGTTGAAACTAGAAGTGGCACCATCCTAAAATAGAAACACTGAGGTTCTACTCATTTCCATATAAATATTCATTATTCTGATTTCAAAGCCATGTTCCAGGCTTAGACCTGCAAGATGCTATGGGCCATCAATGCCCATTGACTTCAATGAGAACAGACAGCCGCCAGTCCCTCCAAGGAGAGCTCACAACAGAGAAGACTGCCTCATTTTGAGAATGAAGTTTGTGCTGATTTTAGAGCTGAGGGCTTGATGCAAAGTAACTGATGGCCATAGCTGGTTTTGAGTCCGGATCTAGAGCCCAGTTAACACTGTTTAACACATTTTTAGGTTCCAGCTCATCACCATATTCAAGCAGATGATTATCTTTAAGCATATGAGGAGCTATTGGACTCCAATGGGGGCTACCTTCTAACTCAAAGCAAAGCACATGCTTAAGTGCTTTGCAAAATCAGGTCCTAACTAAAGAATTCATGTGTTAACTTACTAAGGTTCAGGGACTCATAAAACACAACTGGCAAGTCCTGTTTGAATTCTAGTTCAATTTTCTTTTATACGGGATTTTTCTTTTCATGCATCTCTTACCTTTGTGATTTCCCTCAGATAGCAGTCAATTAAGTCCCTGGTGTCCACTGGATTCCAGTCCTCCCTGTGCTTTGCAATCTCTTCTTTCACAAAGCATTTCAGTTTTCCCCAGTTTTTTAAAATGGTGTGATGGTGTCCTGGGAGCCATTTCATTATGGTGGGAAAGGAATTATACAGCTTTAGGCACAGAGAGAGAGAAGGACGTGACAGTTTTAGGGAAATGTATTATTCAGTTTAATATTTTTGTCTACATCTACCTGAAGGGAGGCCTTCTTATTTTATCAATGGAGAGTGTAGTCATTAAAGGTCTCAGTTAACATTGGTCTGCTCCTACAGATGTGCAGCAAGGCTGCACTGATGTGTTATGGAGCAGACTCAATTAATCAAAAATGCTGGAAAGCGGATATTAACATGCTCCAGCAACCTCCAGCATCACATGTATCAGTGTCCTCGAACTGAAAATTGGAGGTGAGTTGCTTTGAACTAAAGCTGGTTCGATGAGCTTTAGTTCAAAGCGCCCCGCCATCATTTTTGAGTGCGGGGACACTGATAGACATGAGGTTCCGGTGCTTTTAATTAGCACAGCTCACTAACCCCGTCCCTGCACACACACACCTCCTGGAGCTCGTCTACAAACACCCTCACAATTCATCTGGTTTAGAACCAGGAAATGAAACCAGGCATCTCTATAAGTCCCAGTCTGGTGCTGGAAGCCAGGGCCCTGCAAACCTTTATAGCTAGAGACCAAAGTAAGCGAAAGATGAGGCATGTTGGATACAGTCTCTGGGTGCAAGCTGAGCATGGCACACAGCTGGTTACATTTCTACCCCTTCAGGATGCAGTATTCATGGTGCAGGATCCCAAGCTGTGCTAATTTTGGCGCTGTACCATACTGTCCTGATTGAGGCTACATAGAAAAGAAAAATTTAACCAGTGCTTGGTTAGCCAAAGAACGGGTCACAGGTAGACCAGGCTTTGCACAACCCCACTCTAAGCAACAGGGCACTAGAATCAATCTCTTCCTTTTGTTTTCTGGTATGACTGCTGAACAGTTGACCTCTGAATCCAACGCAGAAGCAGCACGCATGCCACAAGTGGTACAAGCAGCCTCAACGTGTGGCACATGGCAGACTGGGGAGGGGACAAGCAGCACAGTGGCAGTCGGGGCAGAAAAGGAGAGTGCAGAACAGCAGATTGGGTAGGAGGTAAAGGGAAGGAAGTAGAAAGCAGAGCAACAGATCAGGAAGACAGTTCAGGACAAAGAGAAAATATAGCAGCAAACTAGGCAGAGGAAGTGGGCTGGTGTAGGACTCAGTGGGGGCCAAGCTTTTTGGTAGGTGTGCCATAAATTGTCATAAACCCATGTCTCTCTCAAGCCCCCTACTAGATCATATTTTATGTGGCCGGAGGCCCTGAACTGGCTGTCCATTGATCTAACGCTACTTTGTCATTCATTCATTTATTCCTTCATTTTCAAGACACATGTGCAAATGAGTCCACCCTCCCATGAATATAGAGTTTAATGTACCAAGTGACAAGAGGGAATGGAGTTACTTAGCAGGGAGAGACAGCATCCTTCCTTCTTCCTCTCTCCAATTTACACATCCCTGATGGCTGTTGAAATCATTCATCATCTCTTTAGTCCTATCAGAGGTCACCCTAGTTGGGCTGTGGGGAGGGCAGCAGCAGCAGGGCAGTGGATTTGTATAAGATGAAGAGGGTGTATAGGATTTTTATAGGACCAAGAGGATGTCCCAGTTGAGTATCAAGTGAGACCCAAGCCTGTAATCATGGTCACTAGTCAAAGTCAGGGTGTCAAGGCCAAGTATCAGATAGGAGGCAAAATTCAGGAACAATAGTCACCACCAGAGCCATAGGCTATGTTGAGCAGACTGTTGCTACTTTCCTCCTAACCCCAATAAAGGCTGAGAGGTTTCCCACTTCTGTGCGGCGTGGGACAAAAGCAATCAAAGACAGGCTAGCCAATCAACCATGAGTGAAGAAGAAGGAGTGAGTCACCTTCTGCGGGTGAAGGTGACTTATCTCAAAGGCTAAGAGAGGAGAAGTCAGAATGGGCAATCAGACAGGATTTCCTCAGGGAGAATGGGAGAAAGAGGGTAGCTAGACAGGTAAGGATAGAGAAAGATAGAGGAGTCCCGAAAGAAAAGGATCATTTAACCATCACAATCAGGCCAAAATAGAAGCACATTTGGAACCAAGAAAAACACAGACCTACTCAAATCTGCTTCTACAAAAGAAGTTGTATTATTGATTTCAGGGAGATCGAGATAAGAGTCCTTCCAGGGCCTAACGTCAGAAATCAAATGAGTTGTACCTGGGTCCAAAAAGTTCCAGGGAGGTTAACTATCTCATCAAACAACCGCAGTAATGTCTGGAAGTGACTATCGTGATATTCAAACCGGTTGCCAAAAGTGATGGAACAGATAACGTTGGAAATAGCATTGTTAATTTTAAAGGTGGGGTCAAAAGGATTCCCTGGAAAGACAAAAATGGAGAAATTAGCTGTCTTCCAGCCTTTGTGAAAAAGCAAGGAAAGATGGTGAGAAGGGTGTGAAATCCACTGATGGTTTCTCAATTTATTGATGACAAATTCTCCCATACCACCCTTGTGAATAGCATTTGCTGCACTCACCTCCCCGAAAGCTAAAGATCTGTTAAACATGGACTGGTTAAGCAGCACATCCAAGCAGAGCTGCTTCAAGTCAGTTTTATTTGATTTTCTAAAGCCATTTGCATTTTTAATGCAGGTTTCTGCTTTCACAATATAATAGGTTAGATAAGTTTTATCCATACTTCTTTATCCATACCTGGGTAATTAATGGCCACATTTGCAGGACAGTTGTATAAATCCATGTTCCTACATGAAGTCTGGGGGCAAGCTGACTCCAAGTCAGTGTATGGTTTCATACTTGATAGATAGAAAACCTAAACCCTGACACATTTTTTTGGAGCCAAGTCCAGGTCTTGACCTGTATCTCTGATATTTCTGAGCTTTGGGAAGGAGCCAGATGCAGGCATAATGCAGGCTCCAGGGTACTGGCATGTTATTTCATTTGCACTGGAGAGAGGAGGAAGCCTAGACAGCTCCACAGAAACGTTCAAAAATCATTTCCTTACCTTTCTCTTCCTCAACTGCCTCAGTGAGATACCTGATCTCCTGCTGGATTCGTTCCTCTAAACTTGTCTTCCCCAGGCCAAAGTTTCTTAGAACTGAAAGGGCAAATCTTCTCTGTTGTGCCCAACTATATCCATTAGAGAAGATCAATCCTAAGGTGAGAGGTAACGCTTGTTATTTTAAGGTGGCATTTAAAGGCCAAAAAATCTTTCCTTTTTTGAAATGCCAGAGATTGCAGCCTTGGGATGTCATGGTTAGGATGTAAAAACAACCCTACTCATATACTTATGTGCCTGTGTATGTGTTTGCAGCATGTGGACAGTTACCACGGCCCAGAAAGAATAACTGATTTCAAGGGAATCAAGTATGTCAATATCTTTGAGGATCTGGGCCAAAGTCTCTTTGACAGAATAATGTATTGATTTGTAATATTTCTGGTCCAATGGGATTTTTGCAGGGTGGGTTGAGGGGGTTGGTTTTTACAATCTCCATGACAATGTTACATGCTTTAGCTTCTTTAAATTTCTCATACACTGTTCTATCCTTTAAAAGAATGGGTTAATGTTGCCCAGAATTAAACATGGGAGGGCCTCTGACCTGAGTTGCAATTAGCCCAAGTAAAATGGGCTCATTGGTATAGGAAGACACAACAGAGAACCATGAAATTCAGGCCCAGCCCCTGGCGGTTCCCTGCTGGAGGGAGGGGGGCAGAGTTTCAGGAGAGGACCTTCAGGGCCTTCTGAATGAGAGCTCTATCTGGTGGTGCATTGTCTTGGTTAAGAAGGGCTGCCTGAAGAGGTAAAAGTCCTGTCCAGGAGCTGAGGCAGACAGCAGATCACTCTGGGAACCAAGGATAGCCAGGGGCTGCAGGGACTGGAAGACCTGGTCTCATAGGCTGACAAGCCAGGGGTTCATCCACTCTAGCTTCAAGGAGTAATCAGAGAGAGACTGTGTTAAAATCTCAACCCAGAGCCCTTTTGGGGAATAGATGACACTTCCTATCCCAACATAGATTTCAGGAGACTCCTTATGGGAAGCCCAAGTGCACACAGTTGCAGGATCAGTTTACTAGTTATTAAAATGTTACACCTTAAATGCTTTTCCTGAAAAAAGAGTAACTCACCCAAGCCACCAAAGACTTCATGTGTAATGGGGACCTGGGGACGATCTGCAAAGTTTTGACCTTGATGAACAAGTGCTTCCTTCACCAGCTGGAACCCATTGACAAACACAAATGTCCTGTAACCTAACTGGAGGCTGAAAATGTTGCCATAGTTTTCAACAAACTGGAAAAAAGAAGAGATTGTGTGTGGTTGGTAACTAGAATGTGTCGTCTTACTTTTCTCTCCACAACTATTATTCATTAGATGTAAAGCAATAATACTGAAAAAGCATGTCTTACTTGTTTGCTCTCAAGAGCTTAAACAAGTCTCCACAGGTTTTTGAAGCAGACCGACTGAGTGAGGTAGTAGTAGAATGGGCACTTTAAACCAATACAATCACCATGGACATTTATACACCTGCTCCACGGTGGGAGCGGGGAAGCATTTTAATTAGAGCAGCTCCTGGAGATCTGCTCTAATTAAAATGCTGCCGTGTCACATGTATTCAGCATCCCACATTTCAAAATGGCTGCAGGGACACTTTAACTAAAGCGCATTCGATGAGTTTTAATTAAAGTGCCTCCAATGCCATTTTGAAATGTGGGACCCCGAATACATGGCACTGCAGCATTCTAATTAAAACTCTCCAACAGACTCAGTTAATCAAGTCTGCTCTGATGCATTCTAATTAAAATGCATTGGAGCATGTGTATAGGCGTGTCTTTTCCTGAAGATGTCTTTATAAAACAGTGCAAATAGTGCATAATATTTATTAGCGCACACAGCCACAATTATCATATTTTATGGTGTATAAATTGAGTTTTGAAGATTCAATTTTTAACTCTTAAAATTCAACCTTGATTTTATACACCATATCACTGTCTGCTGTGACTGCTTGGCACTTGACTTACAGTGACCCCTACGTGCCCTCACTGTAAACCAGGCACCCAGGTGGTGGACACGTGCTGGAGCACTGCTCACAGGGGATGGAGCCAGGCTTGATGCTCAGCTGGCAAAGCCGGGCTTGGCACTTGGTAGCGCCATTTGCAGGGGATGGAGCTGTTCCAGCAGAGCACTGAGCCCAGCCCTAGCACTGCAGCATTTGTCCACCCTGGGGTGCCTGGCCCTCAGGGAGATCATACAGGGATGGTATAAGTTGACCCCATATTTCTGATCCAAAAAGTTAGGTCAACTTATACGACGGAGCTACAAAATTCCTAACGTCCTCAATCAGAAAAATGGGATTGACGTATACCCTGTTGACCTATACACCATGAAATATAGTAAGCGGAATAAACTATTTTCTGCCTGATAGTACTGCTGACTGGGACACATTGCCCTTCAAAGCTACAACGGCTGGTGAAGAAATAAAAAGCTGGTTTAAAAAGTGTGTTGCAGTTCTATCAGATGTTGGCACTGGATTTATGACTCAGATACCTTGCTCTGGGTGGACCCAAACCCTCAGACTGACCATGACCTTTCCATTAAATAATAGGCAAATTTTATTGATACACAGTGATAGCAGATAAGAATAATACAAACAATTTTATATCTACCAGTTCTAGAGCTGTCAGGGTCAAGGTACAGCTGGCCAGGATGTGAACTTCATCCTGAAGTTTTTTCTTGAATGTCAGATGTCAGCAACCTGGAGGTCAAAGGCTGATGCCCACCCCCACACCCAGTAGGGTGAGTGAGATTGGCTGGTGGTGTACCCTCTGTCCATGGAGGCCTCAGGTTCCCCTCTCAGGGACCCTTTGCTGCTCTGAAATCCCTCTTTTTGTATTCTTTCTCCCATCTGATGACTCTTCATCTCTAGGCATCTGTGATTGGTTTCCCTGTGGTCATCATACTGTCCACGTTCTGTCTTGTCAGCATATTCCTGTGTTTCACAAACTTATCACATGCACACATCCTAATTTGGTTGTTTACAGGGCTTCCTCATTTGGTCTGTCCACCAAAACTGTAGATCCCAAGGGCTCTGCCACTTTGACCATGTCAAAGTGACCAGCTGCAGAGTCCTTTATCACAGTTATGGAACACTGTAGTACATGTCTTCAGTTTCCCAGCCCATGTGTCTGCTGCTTGCCTATGTCAGGCACAGTAAGCCTTGAAAGAAACTTTGCCAGAAACAGGCTTTTAGAAATTAATTAACCCTTGCTATTGACCATTGCTCTAATGAAATATCTACTTTATCTATAAGCCAGTTCCCCAAATCAAATCTCTAAATAGCATTTCCTAGCCATCATCAGAGGCACTGGTATTTTCAAGCTCGTATTCTGCTTATGACAGTATTTGCACCTGCTCCATGACACCGACTGAAAATTCTGGAAATAACAGTTTTCTCAGTGACCCCCAAGAAAGGAATTGCAAGGGGATGAAGCTCACAAAACAATTTCTTTGTCCCATGGAGCTTCTGAAGTTCCCTTCTTTCTTCATAAGCTCCTGACTCAGCACCAATTCTCATCACACCCTGTTTTCCATTACTTTTGAAAAGGAGTGCCTCTGATTCCTCTCCTGTCACCTCTTACCTTCTTCAAGGAGATGTGAGGCTGTCTGAAGTCCACATGGAATATGTGGCCCAAGAATGGAAGAGGCAGTGGTCCTGGAGGGAAATTGGCTGGACGTCTCCTTTTCATATAATCAGCAGCCAGCAGCAACATGACTGTGAACACTGCAAGGGTCCGGAAGGACACGTTCTCCCAGAGAACAGTTAAAAGGAAGAAAAACTGCAGGTACATCTTGACTAGCAGCAATCACTTGCACGGACGGCAGCTACTGTTGTGAAAGAAAACCATGCAGCAGGAACAGCCTTACCCACCTCTTGACAATGGAGGAGGCAAGTGTTTATAAACAAGATCAGTGTGATTACATAGGGACCCAAGAGGCACACTCCCAACTGGGAAGCCCTGCCAAGCCTGTCTCTGCCAGAGAATATAGCCCCGATCCTGGATCCTAGATTACCATTTAATTTTTTTTCTCATGCCTCAACATTTGCATTGACCTTGAGCAGATTCTCTGTTTCTCTCTGTCAGCCTCTGTCTTAAAAACAATCCAGTAAATCCAGATCCCTTGCAAATCCATAGTCATGGAGAGACAGGATTAATTTACAGCAGGTGGCAATGTGATTTGGCAGCTTTAATTTCACCATTGTCCTGTATACAGCCTTGGGAGAGCATTTCTGTTGCACAGCCCCCATAAGACTGCACCTGTGTGCTTTTATCTTTTGTGGTCTCGAGGTAGCTATATCTTCATACATTCATAGTTGGGAGGGTTGGAAGGGACCTGAGCGGATCATCAAGTCTGACCCCCTCCCATGGGCAGGAAGGGATGCTGGGGTCAAACAACCCTGGCTAGGTGATTGTTTAGCCTCTTTCTGAAGATGGCCAGGATAGGGGTGAGCAGCACTTCCCTTGGAAATTGGTTCCAGCTCCAGGCAGTCCTGACTGTGAAGTAGCACCTCCTGATATCTAGCCTGAATCTACTCTCAGTCAGCGTATGGCCGTTATTTCTTGTTACTCCTGGTAGCGCTCAGGGGAACAGGGACTCTCCCATTCCCCGCTGGTCCCCCTTGGCAAGTTTATAGATGGCCACCAGATCCCCTCTCAGCCTTCTCTTGTGGAGGCTGACAGGTTCAGGTCCCTTAGCCTCTCCTCATAGGGCCTGCCCTGCTGACCCCTGATCATGAGAGTGGCCCTCCTCTGGACCCTCTCCACGGTATCCACATCCCTCCTGAACTGCCGCACCCAGAACTGGACGCAGTACTCCAACTGCGGCCTGACCAGTGTTGCATAGAGGGGGAGGATCATTTCCTTGGACCTGCTCGAGATGCATCTGTGGGTACATGACAAGGTATGGTTAGCCTTCCTGACCGTGTCCCCACACTGTCGGCCCATGTTCATTTTGGCATCAATAATGACTCCAAGATCCTTTTTTGCCTCTGCACTGATGAGAAGGGAGTTCCCCAGCCTGTAGGTATCCTGCTGGTTCTTCCTCCCCAGGTGCAGCACCTTGCACTTGTCAGTGTTGAAACCCATCCTGTTCTCATCCACCCACCCCTCTAACCTGTCTAGGTCCAATTGCAGCCTATTCCTCCCTTCTAGCATGCTCACATCCCCCCACATCTTAGTGTCAACAGCAAATTTGAACAGGGTGCTTTTTACCCCCTCGTCAAAGTCAAGATGTTGAACAGTGTGGGTCCAAGGACTGAGCCCTGGGGGCCCCCACTGCCTGCATCCCTCCAAGTCAAAAATGACCCATCCAAAGCCACTCTCTAGGTGCAGGCCTCCAGCCAATTTGTGACCCATATGACTGTAGGCATTGACTCCACAGTTGCCTCATTTTGTAAAATGAAAATGGGGTAAGAGACAGTGTCGAAGGCCTTCCTAAAGTCCAGAAAGACTATGTCCACCGCGATACCTGTGTCCAAGGATTTTGTGACCTGGTCATAGAAGGCAACCACGTTGGTCTGATAGGACCTGCCTCTAATGAACCCATGTTGATTGCCTCTAAGCATAATCTCCCCTGCTGGTCCCTCGCAGATGTGCTCCTGGATAATTTTCTCAAAGAGCTTTCCCAGGACCAAGGTAAGATTAACAGGCCTATAGTTTCCTGGGTCCTCCTTCCTCCCTTTTTTGAAAATGGGGACCACATTGGCCCTTTTCCAGTCCTCTGGCACCTCGCCAGAGCACCATGAGTGCTCGTAAAGCTGTGCCGGGGTCCTGCAATGATTTCTGCCAATTCCCTCGGCATCTACATTGCATCCCTGGTGCTCCCCTGGGCAACCATGCTCAAGTACACCCTAATCCTCTCAGTAGAAAAAAGAAACTGCTGTAGTGCTGCATTCCAATGTTTGGCGTGTATTTGCCGGTGGGAAAGGTGTGGTTATGAATTGTTTCTCAAGCAACTACTCTTTACTGCAGACAGCACCAAAACTGCACAGGACCAAGCAAAAATAATAATAATAACAATAATAAATACCCATGCAAACATTTCCCTGCCTCAGCATCCTCGCCATACTGGAGCAGTCCCTAGGCTTAGGTCAGAGACCTCTAGGGTCCTTGTAACAGGTGAGGCACCAGGAGTTTCCATAATGCCCGCTAGTGCTTGCCTTGACCCTGCCTAAGGTGCTCTCTCTTTCTGTCTCTGTATCAGTTCTTTAAGTCCTGCTCACCTTAAGGCAGGGATGGGCAAAATATGTCGCATGGGCCAGATTCTGCCCACCAAGTGATTGTATCCAGCCCACCAGCGAGCAGCCACAAAGTCTTAGGATCTGGCCCGTGGGAAGCCGGCTGATTTGGCTGCTGAGTTGTGCGTCCTGGCCTCATCTGCAGCTTACCCTAGCTCCCGCCCTGCGCGCTAGAAGCAGCATGGGGCCAGTGTGGCTGGCAGGTTCTGGGTGGGTATCTGAGCATCTGCCTGGGTCTGCACTGCATGCTGTGGTATCAGCAGAGTCACCTCGATCCCTGCTGGGATCTTGTCAGCTGAGGATGCCAGATGGGCCCAACCTTAGCCCCCTGGCAAGCACAGAGGGATCCTGCCTGGTGGGGGGCCTCCAAGTTTCTGTTTGCCCAGGGCCCCAGGAAATCTTAATCTGCCATTGGCCATTACCAGTCAGCTTTGCTTTTGGTGTGTGAGCTGTGGACGAGGCTGGGACGTTGTGAATTGGAGCATGCTATAGCTGCAGGGCCAGTTTAGGCAGGGTGGGGAGAAAGAGATTGGGTATGTGTGCTGTACCTGCAGGGAGGGCTCAGCTTAAGGGCTAAATTTATGGCCTGAGTATTTAGAATGGGTTTTATTATAGTGATCAAGGCACTGGTAGGCTTCCAAATTTCTTTAAAATTGTAAATATATCAAGAAAACATTGTATTCAACTGATACCTATATATAGTGGCCTTTCATGTTAATCAAGGATTTGGGGGTTTTAAGTAGAGATTTGTGATTTTTTTATTAGAGAATTGGTGATTTTTTTTTTATCAGGGAAAATCAGGATCCCTCACCATGAGATGCAACCTAGCTGTTGGGAATTAGAACAGAAAAAAGATTCCTGAATGTCAGTGCTTTTTTGATGTCTCCTTTGATTTCCATTACGTGCTTTCTCATGGAGTAAAGAAAACTAGTTTATATAAAGAGGTGTGTGAACAAATGGACACATCCAGGGAATATGAAAAAAAAAGAGGAAACAACAAGAAAATTGCTTTTCAAGCAATGTGAACACATACCTCCTGACAAGGGGCTGCTCCTAGAGCCAGATCTGTGTAGAGGAGCATCTGATTCAACCACAGGCAGGAGTTATGATTTCTGTATTTGGACAGCAGGTGCCAGAAGAGTAAAAAATACCTACTTGTGATAATCCTGAGGGTGTTATGGATAGCTCTGGTCTGGGATGCTTATAAGAAATTATTTAGCAAATTCTGTTGTTGTCTTACCCAGAGTGTGGTTTTTATGGGGCAGAGGGAAAGGGGGGAGGAGGAGGGGCACAGAGAGAGGAATCAGCTGTAATGATCTGTTCTATGTGCTCTGCACTTTTGTAACAGGTGCCAGTCCTGGATGGGCCGTTCTTTTATGTAGTTAGTACAAATCTCAATGTATAAGCAACTTAAAGTCATAATTAATCATTGACATTATAGTTCTTTCGCTTTAAAATGCCTTTGTACTAAAAAGACATTTCCAATGACCTTTTAGTCAGTGGATTTATTCTTAGAAAGCAATCAATGAGTTTATTCTCAGAATTTCTTTTCACCCCATTTATTTTGCCAAAAATTAAAGGGTTGCTAGTCAAAGCCGAAACAGCTGCATATCAAGACTTGCTCAGCAATTCATTTTAAATGAGTTTTGAAACTACAATCAACACTACAAACTAAAGCTGCTGTTTAACTACATTGAGCCACAAAAAATAAGAAAGTTATCACTCCTTTAGGATATGCTTAAGTCCTCTGGCACACATTTACTTAAAGGCACCCTGAGATTTGATCCCCAACCCCAACAATCATACCTCCTACCATGCCACACATGCATGGCAGGAGGCATCAGTTTGGAATCAGGTATCAGGTCCCAATCATGTCCTGTCTACTGGCCAGTGCAGGGGGAGCTGGAGACGATGATCCTGAGCTCCCCCTGAACAAGCAAGTTGAAAGCCAGGTGCCTGCAGCCTGGCATAACTCAGTATGGTATGAGGCTGACAATCAGCTGAATGCTGGCGCTGGTTCTGGAGCACTTGTTCAATTTAAGGTGCCATCCAAGCCAACTATAAAAATATTCTACATTATATAAAAGAAATGCAAAACTCTAGAACTCGTGGTTCAGAGATGATACCTTTTATTAGACCAACTAAGAAATTGCAAAAAAAATATTTTTTTCTGCAAGCTTAGCACACATGTGCCCTTCCTCAGGCTCAGGGAAAATTAAAGACGGTAAAAAGTTCCCACAGGTAGAAAACAAACTTCATTTTTGCAAGGAGGAAGCGGAAGGTAGAAGTCTATTCCTCGGGGTCCATGAGAGTGTCTTTGTGAGTTGTTGTCTGACGTGCAGATAAAGCAGGATTCCTTCCCTGGTGGTGTCAGATGGCAGAAAGGCAGGGAGGTGTAGAAATCTTTCTTGCTGTTCAGCAATGAAGGTAAAATCCAAAATGGACTAAAATTCAACATCTTCCATGTTTCAGGGATGTATTTGGTAGCCGTGTAGGTATATGCACATGTAACGTCCTTGCCATTTATGCCACAATTAATGCATTGATTGTGGCATAAATATCACATGTAGAAGGGCCCTAATACACCTATTATAAAATACTGATACTAAATATGAAATTAAGAACCAGAGCAAATGCCTCCTTCGTTCACTTACAGATGCCTTAAACCATGAGCAGTATGGTAGTTAGCATACATGTGTATAAGTGCCCTATGATTGCTAACTACCATACTGCTCGCGGTTTAAGACATCTATAAGTGACCAAACAGGCATTTACTGTGGTTCTTAATTTCATATTTGATATCAATATTTTATAATAGGTATATTAGTGATTGTCCATGTACTGCTAAACTTGCCTGGTACACCAAAGCATCTCTCTAGTTTTTAAACCATGTCTGCGCTGTCAGCAAAGAGAGATTATTACCGTTACATGAGTTAGGCGTCCAGTTTCCAATGAGATCAGGTTTCTACAGATCATACACTTTCATAGCAGTTCAAGTACACTGTCCTCATAAAATCCTCAAATAAGGAATATGAGAATCCTCACTGATTGTCATATGTGTATATGCTGACATGGTGATAAACAAGACATGTTCATAACTACATTTGGCTAACCCAAGTTATCTACTTGGATTTAAAATAGTAGCAAAAAACAAGGTTTACTTTAACACAGGACTACTCTTAAAAGTTCAATGCCAAGTCACGGATGGGTTTCAAGTTGAGCTGCTGAGTTCATTTAAACCCAGGAGTTAACCTTCTCATTGCTATTGGTTTTAGTCCCCTCGGCTTACACTGCTTAGTGACCCCAAAGCGAAGGACCTCTGTTTTTTAGCAATCAAAATGGATGAAGAAAGACAGAAATGCACATGAAGATAAAAGGCAGACAAGGTTCTTTGGGTAAATATGGTATCTTTAATTAAACCAATTAAATACAGAGCTATAAACAACACTCCTGAAATATGAAAAGCAAAGGTGGTCTAAGCTGAGGTGCTTTTCCTCATTAGATTTTTTAACAGATTTTTTTTGGACAAAACATTAACAATTTTGTCAAAACATTTCCATCTGTATTCAATTTTTCCATGGAAGAAGGAAGTATGAAATCCTATTCTGTCCTTACAGCAGTAACCTCTTTGCACTCCCAAACACTGGAGATAAACAGCTGCAACCACCCCCTTATTGGGACACAGAAATGGAGGACGTAGGGACATTTGGGAACAATACACACAGCTCCATCTATAGAAAACACTCCTGTAATTCTGAGAAATGGGGCAAGGGCAGATCTTGACAGTGCTACCTACCGAGGCAAAGCCTGGATCTTGTATGGCTGAGGGCCCATGGCCATGCCTATTCTGAACTGGAGGTTGAGCTTCGTGTTCTTCGGTGCCTGGAACGTGAACTTCTGAAAAAGGGCAGTGAAGAACAGGAACAGCTCCGTTCTAGCCAGCTGCTCTCCCAGGCAAACCCTTTTCCCTGAAACAATAGCAACATTTGTGTGTATCAGCTAAAGGACGGTGTTAAAAAGCTCTACCAGCAATGGTACCTTTTGTAAGTAAAAACAATGGGCTCCTATAGACATGCAGTGAGGCTGCTCCGATGTGCTGTAAATCCAGCAGGTTGGAGCAAACTCAATGAATCTAGCATGCTGGAGTGCAGAAATTAATGTGCTCCACCGGCCTCTGGCATCGCCTAAGTTAATGATCATTAAGGATGCACATCTACACATGTACACCCTTAATGTGCATTAAAAATGGGGAATTTAGGCTGCCAATTTAATGCACATTAGCCTAAGTTAATACTCATTAAGGATGCACATCTACATTTGTACACCCTTAATGTGCATTAAAAATGGTGAATTTAGGTTATTTGCACCTACATTTCACACCTGCAAATGCAAGTATCAAATTTAGCCTCGAATAGTTAAAGTGCATTAACAAATATATAGATACTTTAAAGCGCATTAATGCTGTGTAAGTTGACTGACTTGGGATGAACTTTAGTCTCAAGTCAGTTCACACGCAACATTAATGCATTTTAACACCTGCACATGTAGACCCATACCTAAACCCGCTTCATGTGCATTAAGGTAATGCGCATTCACTTTAGGCATGCGTAAATGCACATGTAGACGCCCTGTCACCACTGAGAACAGTCCAGCTCCATCCTCTTTTGGAACCACCCTTCAGGTAGTTAAAGGCTGCTATCAAATCCCCCCTCAGTCTTCTTTTCTTTAGACTAAATAAGCCCAGTTCCCTCAGTCTGTCTTCAGAAGTCATGTGCCCTCAGCCCCCGAATCATTTGTGTTGCCCTCCACTGGACTCTTTCCAACTTGTCCGTATCCTTTCTTTAGTAGGGGGGCCAAAACTGGACACAGTACTCCAGATGCGGCCTCACCAGTGAAGAAGAGAGCAGAATATTTACCTCCCTCAATCTGCTGGCCACACAGTTCTGACTTGACTTCACTTCCTGGCCTTCAGACATAACCAGGACCACCCACCGCCTACGCTATGACAAGGCTGAGCAGGCTGCACCCCAACCCCAGAATCCAAACCCTGACCATGACTGTAGCTACCCATTTTCCATGGGTCCTCCATAATTAATAAGTTTGCTCTGGGCTTTTCCTAGGTAGAAACACAGAGGCCCAAACCTGGTGCTAGTGGAGAGAATCAAGCAGATCTCACCTGCTGAGAAGGGCAGGAAAGCCTCTCTCTTCCTGAACTGGCCATCCTTCAGAAAGTGCTCAGGGTTAAAAGCATCAGGAGTTTCCCACTCGTTCCTGTCAAACAGCACCGACATCAAATTAGTGATCAGAGTGATCCCCTGGAAAGAGAAAGAAAAGGACTTAAAACCAGTTCTGTTTCTTTGACTGTAACCTGGAATGGAGTGAAGGGCAAGGGCCTGTCTTTTTTTATCTTGCAGATGGTATAAAGAGCAGGTTTTTTGTTTGT